CTATAAAATGGATATGCTAACTTTGCAGATATAATGATATCTGGAGGAGAAGATACCAATATGAAATATACGACAAATACAAACCCAAACCAGATGAAAAAGACGTGAAATATCTTCATAAAAATATGAATACCGATGTATAGATATCTAGCACGATCACAATAAAACAACACTCCCAAAATAATCCTTATGTGGAAGAGAGCTGGTGCGACAAACGATTGTCAGTGAATATGAGTGAGTGACGAAGAAATAAGGCTTGAAAATGAGATGAAAGCAAAAGGAACTAACAATTTAAAACCAAAAAAATTCAATCGACAATTAAATTTTGGCCAAAAGAAGCAATTCTTTTGCAGTTCAAAGCAACTTAATACTTAACATAAGGCTTCCAATTAGTTACAGGTACATGGCACCCTTAAATACCGAAGATAAATGAACAGAAGTGTATGAACCTGCAGTTAAACAAAAGAATTTTTTATTTTAGAATATAACGAAATATGATAATGGGAGTAAAGAAAGTTTTCATAACTCAATCAATGTTCTCACGTTGTATAGACATGGTGTTTACATTGCCCTACAAGAAAATAATTATAGCTTTTTTGTTTCCAATTAGTTTAGGTTACCCTGTATGCAATGATTATATTATTATTAATGTCAAGATCACAGTTATGTTTCTATAAATGTTTCGGGCTCTACTTTTAATGTCACATTTTCGCAGTCTGTGTCATTATTCACTTCTCTTATTTTAGTGTCAATGTTTAATTAGTCTTTTATTTCTTGATTTTTAGCATGTGTCCTCCCCATATTTTTTAAAGTAATATAGCTATTTCCAAACATCGTTCTAACAGATTGCATCAAAATATTGTTCGGATCCGTCATTCGAAGATTACTATACACTTACAAATTTCTTTCATATTTACCTATATAATAATATTTACAGGCTTTTCTGGAATTAGTACACTAAAAGACCATTTTTTTATATAAAATTAATTTTTTTTCCTATTTGTTGTAAGTTGATTTAATTTCAGATTTAGTTCGTTTCTACATAATGTTTTATGGAGACTATAAACGTGGTTTATTGCGCATTGAGGTATAAAATTATTATATAGTTTAAAAATATTTGTTTTAAATTGTTCATTTTCTCTACTAACTTATATATTTTCCTATCAGCTCATGATACCAACAAGTACCAGTACAATTATTTAATGTATTTTTTATCAAATTTGTCGCTTTTTCTTTATGTTAAAAGATTTTAAAATATATACTATAACAATAAAAATGTTAATTAATTGTATAAATAGGTAAGCAAATACGAGACACAAAAATAAAAGGTAGCAAATGGATAAATCGGTGTAATATGTGGTTATAGATATAGATAGATAGCAACTAAAAGATCCAGAAGGACTATGGAGTGAATTTAAAAACCAAGTTAACGAAATCTCCACAAACAATGATTATAGAAAAAACTTAATCAAGAAAAATAAATGGATGACAGACGACATCTTGAAATTAATGGAACAACGTCGACTGATAAAATCTAATGTAACAGAATATGGACACCTGTAGAGAAGAATAAAAAGGAGATCAAATTAGCCAAAGAAAAATGGATGAGAGAAAGATGCGACGAAATGGAGGATGTAATATCTAATCACGACTTATTTAATATGCACAAAAAACTAAAAGAAATGAGTAACATATTTAAAAAACGAGTTCCCTCTGTACTCGTTGACAATAATAACAAAATTATTGTAAATGAGCACGAAATAAGAAAATAATGACAGCTGTATATATCAGAGTTGTTTGAAGATGACAGGAATAAGATTCTACCAAAACTGTACTGACGGCCCAGAAATTAGGAAATGCGAGGTAGAACACGCTATAAACAATGCTAAAATTAGAAAAGCTTTTGGTCCAGATGATACACCAACTGAGTTGAGGAAACTAATAGAGAATGATAACATAAATGTATTAGTAAGACTTTTCAATTCAATATATACTTAACACCAGAGTTAATTCCCGCAGATTGGCTCAAATCCATCTTTGTTGCAATACCTAAAAAACACAATGCGATAAAATGCTCAGAATATCGACTAATTAACCTAATGAGCCACACTCTTAAAATTTTCCTCAGAATACTTCACAACAGAATTAGACGCAAATGGGAAGAAGATCTTGAAGATACCCAACTTGGTTTTAGAAATGCTATGGGAACCAGTGAGGCTCTTTTTGCGCTTAGAAAACTATTACACAAAAATGCCGTGACTAAAGAAAATATGTATTTGCATGTTTCGTGGACTTCGAAAAGGCATTCGATAAAGTACAGCATGTAGAATTAATGCAAATACTGAAAAATATCGGAATAGATGACATGATGACCGATGATGATATTCGTGTCATTAAAAATTTGTACTGGAATCAAACTGCTATTATAAAATTGGAGATAACTACACCGATGAAATCTCTATACAACTAAGAGTCAGACAAGGTTGCATTTTGTCGCCAACATTGTTCAATGTTTACTCGGACCAGTTATTTAAAAAGGCACTTGAGAGACAAACATATGGAATAAAAATCAACGGGGAACTACTTACTGTGATTAGATATGCAGACGATACAGTAATTCCATCAGATAATATTGAAGGTCTTCAAATTCTGCTTGATCGTATTCACGAGGTAGGAGAGGAAATGAGCATTAAAATAAGCTCAAACAAAACTAAATTTTTAGTGTTTAGTCGTGACCCACATCCCAATGCAAAGCTTCAATTAAACAGAGTCCAAGTTGAGAAAGTTCACAAAATGACACTTTGGGAACTGTGATAACGGACCACCTAGATCCAGACATAGAAATAAAACGTAGAATAGCAATGACTAAATACTACTTTTATGAAAATGAAGTCATTTCTTTGCATTAACCATCTCAGTTTAGAACTAAGGCAAAGAATGGTTAAGTGCTATGTTTGGTCCCGTACTTTTGTATAGTGCGGAAGTGTGGACGCTAAAAGTATCGATCATAAACAAAATTGAAGCATTGGAAATGTGGGTTCATAGACGAATACTGAAGATACCTTGGACAGTATGGAAAACGAATGAAGAAGTAGTAAGGAGTGTCAACAAAGATAGAGAACTGCTAAAGACTGTTAAACATCGAAAAATGTCTTATCTGGGACATATAGTAAGGGGAAGTCGATATAAAATATTACAACTGATCCTTAAAGACAAAATAGAGGGGCGTAGAGGTGTAAGAAGAAAACAAGTTTCTTAGTTAAAAAACATTCGTGAATGGACTAAGATACCAAATGCAGGACAATTATTCCATATTGATCAAGATCGAGAAAGCCTTCGCAATGGTGATCGCCAACGTCAAATAATTCTGATATGGCACGCGGAGAAGAAGAAGATGTGGTTATAATACTACTTGAAAATGTTTTCTATCAGAATCCTAACTGTATATAAACGTACGTGCCAGTTTGAGACTGTGGTTCTGAGTTTACCTCCACTTTACTGGCATTACCGACTGGTAGGAAAGTTCTCATGCCCGAACTGAGAACATTACATAGCATAACTGTAAGTTTATTAGTGGAACACGACACATGCATTCCTCCACCACAACTGACTTATCATTCGGGAAGATTTACTACTCCCCAATTCCGAGGTCTAACACCTTCATGCCCTGAAGGGGTGAAGAGCTGGTGAACTTTAGGGGATTATATCCTTGGCACACGCACTGTTATCCCAACTCGTGAGAATAACATGGATAGGAGACAAAAAGAAATAGTCCAAAAGAGGAATCATAAATAAGTAACTACGTCAATAAATAAGAATGTAGAGGGAACTTGACTGAGAAACTTGGACACTAAAGAAAGAGATAATATCCAAACTCAAAGTCACTCAAAGGTCAATGGAGCGATGCCTGCTAGGTATAACAAATAGAGATCAAAAAAGAATAGAATGTATCAGACAAACCAAGATCGCTGATGTAATCCACAAATCCACAGAATTAAATCTTTAAAATGGCAGTGGTCGAGACATTTAGCGAGAAGAACTGACAATGGAATTACACTGTGGTATCCAAGAGGCGGTAAGAGACCAAGAAGACGTCCAAAAAAAGATGGGACTATGACATGAGGAAACAAGCCGGTACAACATGGCACCTGTAATCGAATTTTAGACAATCGTGGGCAGAAATGAAGAATGACTATATAAGACAGGCTGCACCATAATCAGTAGAATATGCTGAGAATCATGATGGATGGGAGAAAGTATTTCTGGGTGGCCCAAAAGGAAGGAGTAGAGGAAGACCCAGTTTTAGATGGGTAGAAGGCGTGCAGGATAATCTAAGAAGATTGGGAATCCGACGATGAAGGCTAGCGGGCCAAAAAACAGGGAAAAGTGGTGAGAGGCTTTTTAAGTGTTGTAGCGCCCCGAAGCAAGGTAAAAAAAATTGACCAGCAAAATGCAAACAAGAATATGCAGATGAAAAACAAAAGAGTAAAAGAAAATGTAATATTGCAAACAATAATCAGAGTAATATATCCAGTAGTAGTTTTAGAATGATGTTCGAAAAATGAAACAAGGAAAAACAACAGAAACGTTGAGAGGTGCTCAGATAATTTAAAGCAAGCTGATGAAAGCTAAAGCAGATTAACATACGACACACTGGGGTATTGATGAACATGCATGAAAATTGCCGATTTATAATAATGATGATCTGGCATTTTATAATTAAGGAACAAAGCAAAATAACGATATTATTGGTTTAATAATGGTTTAAAAATGCATACTGATTTTACAAAAGAAAAAATGCAAAAGTATTTAAAACTATATTATATAATAGGGGAAAAAATAAAAAAACAGGATTCTAAAAGCAGCAATAGATCAAATGTATATACAATAAATATATATGCATGTATATATAAAGAGAAACAAGAAGAAATGATATAATTTAAGAAAATAATAAAAATAAAAAAGCCTGTAGATTTTATCCAAAGATTCGCGATAAATAACTAATGTAACGGAGCAATATTCTTTTTCTAAAATGTAGTAATTACTATTATGTTTACATAAAGTTTTATTCAGATTATCTATAAACAGATTTTTCGAAAACTGATCTAAAATCAATTTATTCTTTAAAATTCACGACCGAAATTAAATTATCTATTCTTATGACGTATATTTTTATACCTATTAATAATCATGTGTAAAATAATTTACTAAAAATATAATTTGGTAATTTTCTTACTTTGAAATATGTATTTATCATACGGAGAACATCAAAATGTCAATTAATAGAGTATAAATCAAGATAATATGATCCTCTTCTAAAAGAACTAATATCAATAGTATTGATGCATGCATAGTGTGTGAAAAGATAATAGGATAACTAAAAAACCATATGTTTAGCAATCAATCGTTCCACATATATAGCACAAAAATAAATAATGTAAAAATACAAAAAAAAAACTAAAAATCTGGCAATGGCATCACAGTGAAAACGAAACGGTGCTTCAAGTGCCACACATTATTACCTGATAGGGTAGTAGCTCTCTGTTTTCGTCCATGTTGGTGATCTCGAAGGTGGGCGGCTGAGTAAAGGGTCCTTTTCCTGGATAAGAAGTGCTTCTACGGAATTTGACAGGTGAAATGACCTGCTGTTGATTGAAAGTAGGACTAGGTTTACGACCCGCCCCTCCGAGACCTACTCCCATCTGTTGTAAGGGAGGAAGATTTGGAACGCTAACGGCCACGGTTCCACACGGAAGAATTTCCCGGAGACCAATTTTGACCCGGTGGAGGATTGGCCCAGGTACCGTAACCTTTATACAACGGATGATTCGATAAAGATTGTTGTCTTGCCATATTGTGGGGAAAATTGTGGCTAGCTGTGATGGCTCTTCGGCCTTGGTTCACGTGATTCTGATTCATGTTATTACCACCAAACATTTGTTGTTGAGTTGGTGAAGAAAAATTTTGAAAGCCCATACCTCCGTTGACACTAGCAAAATTTGGTGCATATCCGTCTTCTATAGCTGTCGACCAGAGAGCTCCAGCTGGTGTACTAGGCTCAGCAGGATGGAAGAGAGGTTGTAGAGTCGGTACTGTCTTGTTTCTTGAAACCGGATCGTTCAACTTGTCCGAGAGATCGTTGACAGAATTTTCGCAGTCCTTCGAAACCGCAACTGCGGATGCTACTGCTGCAGCGGCTGCCGTTGTACCAACATTTTTATCTATTGCGGAAGTGGTAACCGAGGAGGTGGATGTCGGAAGAGATAGTTCTTCCGCGTTAGCACCACTGACGGAGACACTTGATGCTTGATTCTTCTCGGAGGCGGAAAGATCATCTTGCATCGTTGGATTGTATAATTTTGCCTGTTCAACTAATCCCGTCGCCACTGAAGACGAAGAGCTCGTAGGTGTGGTGTAGAATAACGTATTCGCAGTCGGATTGCTCTTAGCGGAATTCACGGATATTTCTACTACACTCAAACCGATGTTCGCATTACCACTAGAACTAAACTCCCCCATGAGTATACGTCACTGACTAGATGCGGAGCACGATGTCCCGTATCTGTATTTGCGTTATGTCATACACATACACCCGTCTGAACGTGAACACACAACCAGTGAACCACCAGCCTACATTCATGTTAGTGTCATTAGTTTGCATGGAGGACCACGATCTCCGAGAACTAACGATCGACCTCGATTCGGGACGAATATACGAACCTGCCAAAGATTGCATCGCCTGAGTTTGCGCCACCTAACTCATTTCTTCTTTTGTTTTTTAGTCCGGGAAATATTGGCTACGCTACGTATTAAACGAAAATTCGGTGAAGTATTTCGTTTTCTATTCCACCTTTTTTTATAAAGCGTTATAGTTATTTGTCAATTAAGGTCATCCTTCTATAAATTAATATTATTATGAAAGTTGTACGTTTATATATAGGGCGTTAAAGTTTTATAAGATAGAAGTAAGTAATGATTAATTTTTAATAGAAAACTAACTAATAAAATATATTTGGAATAAAAATATATAATTCGTACAAATGTTGACTGGAATCGAAAATACTCGAAATGTGGCAAATGGTTTTGATATTATTATTGAAAAAAAAAACCGGAACGTTAAAATTGTGAAAACTATAGGTATAACTATTAAATGTAATATATAGGTACACCAGAAATTATTAAAAATAATTTAAAAAATATTACAGAAGCCATTATAAGCAACCAAAAAAACTAATAACGATATTTTCATTTTTAAACAAATTCTTGAAAAACAAAGGGAATGTTACGTAAAAACGTAAATTGCACCTATAAATTGTTAAAATTATTTCGACAGTATACACAAAGAAAAATACTTTTTGCCAATGATCAGCTAATATCCAATCCAATTCTGATATGATTGCAATCCGATTCTGATTCCAATCTGAAACAACATAACTGTATCTATTGTGTAAGAACTATCATATGAATATGTTGACAAAAAGACAACAATCGCACCGCAGACAACAGTTTGATACCTCTAAAGGACAAATATTGACAATAGTACTGACGTAATGAAAAAACTACGGAGACCTAATCTGCGAAGGACTAATGCAGCTTACAAAAAAGCATGAAATATCGATAATAATGGGAGACCTCTATGCAAAAGTGGGAAAAGGTAGATCTGAGAATATCATTGAAGACCATGGATTAGGTCAGCGAAATAAAAGAGGCGATAGGCTGTATCAATTTTGCCAAGAACAGAATATTACTATTGTGAATACATGGTTCAAATTACCTGCACGCAGACTATACACATGGAAATCGCCACAATGATAAAAATTGCGTCAGAAACCAAATAGATTATATCATGATCAACCAGAGATAACGAAATAGCATACAAAGCGCAAAAACTTACCCCGGTGCAGATGCCCCTTCAGACCACACCTTGCTCGTCCCCAAATTTAAAAACACGCTGAAAAGCATAAAAAGAAAGAAGAGAGAACAGAAATCAGACATGAGTACTCAAGGATATAAAAACGAGACAGAAGATATCACAAGAAATTAGCCACGAATGTCGAGAACTTAAAAACAGACAAAAGGAAAATGATTTACCAGAAGAATTCGACGACTTAAACCAAATATGGAAAGAACTTCAGACTGTATTTCTAAAAGCTGAAGACCACCTTAAATACACCAATCAAAGAGGCAAGAAACTATGGATAACTAATGAAATATTAGAAATTATGAATGTGATACGACAACACAAGAACAAAGACTGGAACAAATATAAAGAAATACAAAGACTAATAAGAAAAAAGATTGTGGAAGCAAAAACACAGTGGCTTGTAGAAACATGCGAAAAGATAGAAGACCTATACAGCATAAACATGACGATAGACTTCTCCATAAGAAAATTAAAGAAATGTGTGGGATCAGAAACGCTAGGCAGCGTGGCACAATAACAAGCACGGATGATAGAGTCTTGACTACAATAGAAGAAATAAGCGTTGAATGGCGAAGATACATACAAAACCTATTCTCAGACGATAGAATAATAAATATTGATAGACAAACAAACATCGAAAATAACGAATTGCCCATCTTACCATCAGAAATAAAATACGCCTTAAAAATATGCAAAAATGGGAAAGCCTCTGGACCTGACTACGTTCCTAGTGAAATTATACAACTTTTGGAAGAAGACAATTTAGAACTATTATCAAGACTCTTCAACAGTATATACAAGACTGGTACAATTCCACGAGATTGGTTAACGTCTACGTGTGTGCCCATACCTAAATTGTGCCTACACCTGCAAAAAAATGTTACGACTTTCGATTAATAAATCTCATGCCCCATATTCTGAAGCTATTTCTAAAAATTATCCATAACAGAATTTACAAAAAATGCGAAGAAGATATGGATCCGGAACAATTTGACTTCCGAAACGTATGGGAACTCGAGAAGCTTTGTTCAGTTTCATTGTTCTCATGCAAAAGTGCCGGGATCAACAAAAATATGTCTACTTTTGCTTTGTAGATTATAAAAAGGCTTTTGACAAAGTAAAACACGATCAGCTAATAGAATGCTTGCAAAAAAAGAACCTGGATCCAAACGACATTAATACAATACGTGAACTCTACTGGAACCAAAACGCTTCTGTCAGAACTAAAATGGGTGATACTGAAACCATAAACATCCAAAGAGGAGTTAGACAAGGTTGTATACTATCACCATTATTATTCAACTTGTACTCAGAGGATATCTTGGCACATGTTCTGGATGAAGCACAAGAGGAATAAAAGTCAATGGAAAAATCGTGAACAATATCAGGTATGCCGATGATACAGTACTGATTGCTGGCAGTGAAGAAGAACTACCAATTCTGTTAACCAAAGTAGTGCGAGAAGGAGATCTACGGCCTTAAGGTGAATGTAAAAAAACCAAAACAATGGCAATTTCAAAAAAACATACACCAGTTATAAACATACTAGTCAACAACAATCTAGTTGAACAAATGAAGAAGTTTAAGTATCTAGGCTGTTGGATACATGAAACCTTAGACCTAGAACAAGAGGTTAAATGTAGAATAGAACAGACAAGAAACACCTTCTTAAAGATGAGACAGTTACTCACTACCCGTAATCTTGATTTGTCCCTACGATACCGCATGATAAAGTGTTATGTATATAGTGTACTATTACACGGCATGGAAGCGTGGACGTTGACAGTCAGCTCGTTACGACGTTTAGAGAGCTTTGAGATGTGAGTATTTCGTTGTATGCTGAAAATTACATAGACCGACCGCGTTAGAAATGATGAAGTTTTAAGGCGTATGAATAGAGAACGTAAACTCACAGAAATTGTCAAGAAGCGTAAAACGTTTTATCTTGGATATATATTTAGACACGACAGGTATAACTTCCTTCAGCTTATTATAGAGGGAAAAATAGAAGGCAGACGCGGCCCGGGTAGACGACAAATGACCTGGCTGTGCAACATCAAAGATTGGACAGAATTAGACTTTCAAAGTTTAATAAGGAAAGCCCAAAATAGGGAAGACTTTGCAGAGGTCATCGCCAACCTTCGCTAAGGAGACGGCACCCAAAGAAGAATGAAAAAAACTCTAAGTCAGAATCCAAACTAACGAATGAGATTTCTCAGAATCAAACTCGATCAATGAGAAAATAAAAGAATATAAACAGAAGGGATGAAATGATGAATGTGATCTAATGTGTAAGAATCATAATATGAAACTATCGACAGTGGTGTGACAAATGGTCATGTTGGATAAGGGAAAGAACAAAATGAATAAGTTTATTTTATTATAACTATTTCTGTTACTAGATAAATTTTAAATATAGAATGGCATATGTTTAGGAAGACGCAAATAGTTGGTGTTGTTATGACGAAGTGAAAACTGCTGATATATACATCCCTAATATAAGTCAAAATATCCAACATTGTTCTCCAAAATTGAATCAAATTTTACAGATCAAGAATATGCCAATAGGAATGCTAAGTTGAGAAAAAATTCTAAATACATGGACGAAAACTTTTTTACAGTATAAAAAATGCTTAAAAAACTTAAAATACGAATTTAATATCATGTAACATTGAAGAAAGAAACAAAATTGCATTGAATATTTTCTTCTTTAGACGCAGTCAATGCAGTTAGATGGAACATTTTCTTATACAAATATCGAGAATCAGTAACAAGAATTTGCAGGAAAACAGACAGATTGGTGTGTTGTGTGATAAAAAAATGGCAACAGAATGGAAAGATAAATTATTTAAAAGCGTCGTAAACTATATGATGTTAAGCACTGAATGTTCGACAGTTGAAAAAAAAAACAAGAACAACGAATACATGTTACAGAAATCAGAATGCTTGGATGGATGAATGTGACTATCGAAAAATTATAAAAGATACTTTGGGCATATTCAACGCAGCAATAATAATGTACCAATCAAGTTCTGTAAAAGTACAACTAAACGAAACACAGTTTGGTTTCATAAACAACCTTCGAACCAGAGAAGCATTATTCAGTTTGCAGGTCCTGGTTTAAAGATGTAGGGTTATAGAACAACCAGTATATATGTGTTTTATTGACTTTGAAAAAGCCTTTGACCGGGTCACCCACGAAAAACTGATAGATGTCTTGACACAGGTAGGATTTGATGACCAAGGCCTCAATATTATCAAAAATGTGTATTGGCATCAATGTGCAAACATACGAATTGGTGAGAATACGACAGAAGCAGTGGAAATACGACGTGAAGTTAGACAAGGGCGTATTTTATTGCCTTTACTTTTTAATGCCTACTTCGAATTTATTTTCAAAGAAGCCTTAGATAAATATGCTGGCATTAAAATCAACGCGATTAATATCAACAACCTCAGATACACAGACGACATGGTATTGATTCTATCCAATGACAAACAGTTGCAAATACTTATAAATGGGTAAACGGAACATGTGTTGATTATGGTTTAAAGCTTAATACTTCTAAGACAAAATGTATGGTTGTCAACAAAA